TTCAAGGTATTTCTTTTTCAATAAAGTAAAAATATGTTTAGGCTGCATTTTTAGGCTTCATCAATACAACCACACAAGCATCAGGTATGATATGCAGCAGAGGAAATGATGCCAAGTTACTGAGAATAAAAACAACCATATCAAATGTCTTTAGACTAGTTGCTATGTAAACATTTAAACATATATTTGATAGATCAATCTTGTGTCTGAATGTGTTTATGTTGAGACTTTATGCAGCAAAGCAAATATACCTAATCTCATATTATAGTGCATTATCTAGACACTAAAGATCAGATTTAAAACATCCCTTTAGCAAAGGCTAAACATGTCATAAAGATGTCATGTTTTTTTATCCGTATGACATAACATTTTGGAGTTTGTATAGATCTGTCATGCGCAATCAATTACAAAAGTCCTGTATTACTGAATATCCCAAATGTACTGTAAAGGATTGAGATCTCGTGATTGTACCCCACAACATTACCCCACCTCCACAAACTTGAAGTGTTCATACAGAGTAATATGAATCCAAACTTTCCTTGGTTTATGCAACATTCTGACCCTACGATTGGAAATAAGGCCTAAATCTGGTATTATTCTTCTAATGAAGAAATAGAAAATTTAATTTGTAAATCAATTTTCATGAACATTAACATCACAATGCAGTTCTCACTCAACATTTATCTTTTTCTGATCATTTGTTTTTAGCTTGAGCGTCGTATTAAACTCACAGCAGATCAGCAGTTTCCTAAACAGTCGACTCTGTCATCAACTTCCCCTTTAAAGTCACCTGAATTCATATTATTTACCATTTGCATGCTCCATTTGAACTTAAGCAGTTTCCTCATTGTATTTAAATCCCTAAATATATTGACTTGCCATCAGGTTATTAGCTGATTCACCACCCTATGTTAAGACAATTAAAATTTGTGAAGTAGCTAGTAAATTTTTATAGTTAAAAAGTGGGAAAAACACTCTACTATTAAGTTCTAAATAGGTACTGAACAAAAATTCAACATCAATACATCGTTTGTTAATCGTCTTCTACTTTATTCGGGACCGGGTCGCAGGGTAGCAGCTTCAGCAGAGACTCCCAGACATCCCTCTCTGCAGACACTTCCTCCAGCTCTGCCAGAGGAATTCCCAGCCCAGCTGAGAGATATAGTCCCTGCAGCATGTCCTGAGTTGTCCCCTGGGCCTCCTGCCGATGGGAGGTGGCTTGAACACCTCTTAAGGGAGGCGTCAATGGGGCAACATAAAAAGATGTCCAAGCAACCTCAGCTGACTCCTTTTGATGTGGAGGAGAAGCAGCTATACTCCGAGTGTCTCCCAAATGACCAAACTCCTAACCCTATCTATAAGGCAGAGCCCAGCCCAGTTCTTTCATTCATGATACAGATTTCATGACCATAGGCGAGGGTAGGAACGCAGACCAACCAGCAAATGAAAAGCTTTGCCTTTTAGCTCAGCTCTCTCTTCACCAAGACAGACCAGTGCAGCGTCATTATAGCAGCAGCCGCACCGATCCATCAATAGATCTCCTGCTCCATTCTCCCCCTACTCGAGAACAGGACCACAAGATACTGAACTCCTCTATTTGAGGCAGAAACTGTCCTCCAACCTAAAGGGGACAAACCACCTTTGTTTGGTCAAGAACAATGGCCTCAAACTTAGAGAAGCTGATTCTCACACTCGGCTGCAAACCGCCCTAGTGAACGCTGTAGGTCTTGGCAGGAGGTAGCCTGCAGAACCACGCCATCCGCAAAGAGCAGTGATTAGATCTGCTGGTCCCCAAACCAGATCCTGGACCCTGGTAGGCTAAGCATAAACACATTGTTTTGCTACAAAATAAGTAACCATGATACGGTGACCAAACATTCCTGTTTTGGATGACCTGCACCAAGCAAATCCCACGACTGGAAATATCTCAGATTTTAGCATCTGAGGAATAAGATGTAGACCGTGTAGAAAGCATAAAGCTTTTCATCCAAAACAGGGAGCTATCCTGTGAAATTACGGATTTAATTTAGTTGTAACTTAGCTGACCATTGCTGGGATAAAGGTTTGGTTTGTGTTACTAGTGTTTTCAGCATTTACTGTGCTTAAATGATATGCCTGGAATCTATTTTTATAAAAAATAAGAAGTGGAAAATATACCAAATTTTCAAAGACAACAGAAGAACAAAGGTCAAGATTAATTCCAAAATCTGTTTCAGAAGATATGATTGTGGACTTTACAGCGACACAATGTGCTGCTCTGTCATTAGTCAACATACCTTCATTTTTCTGCTGAATCTTTTCTGAGTGAATGCCTTATTCTGCTATTTTTTTGTGTAGACTAAGAGAAGGCATGGCCTCCATGCAAGAACTATCAGTGTACATATTTCCCATTTAAAACCAACAATCTTAGTCCGCATTTTATTAAATGATGTATGGTCTGGTCATGGTGTTGCACAATCCAAACAATAGAGCTGTCATTATTCTGACTTTTGCTTGGCTGTTCCCTTTGCTTGAATATGCTGGAAATCCAAAATATCTAAAATGAAAAAAAAATAATAATAATAATAATGGAAAGATGAAAGAAATTGGAAGAAAGTAAATCTTTATATGAAGTTCTGTAGTTTGATTTTTTTAAGCGGGCTGGTTGAAAGAAATCAAGTTTATTATAAGTAAGGAGTTTTTTTATATACTTACAATGCAACATATTTCCATAGTCAGCTGGCAAACGAATATCACTGCCAACTTATTCAGAAAATAATACCTATTAAATCAAAGTTTATTTCCATTTGAATATTTTTTTTTATGTGTTTATCTCCAAAATTTATGAAAAAATGTTTAACCAAATAAAAACAATATAAGGTTCACCCTCTGATGGTAAAAGAAGATGGATCCATTCAGGCCATGGCTACACGCTCATTTGGAGCAGCTGCAGCTGAGTAGGCAACCAACAGCTGTGCGCTGAGAAATCAATAATCAGCACTTATTGTCTCACGTCATCAACCCTCTGTGGTTTGCACCGCTTACACTTTTTCAAATAACTGGTTTTACATGATAACCCAACCTGACCTAAATAGCAAATATGGCTAAATAAACTAAAATAAACTAGTTCCCTCTGCTTCCATGATGGGCTAATATAGATGTGGTCCTAAAGTTGATTGGAAAAAGTATAGTTAACTGTATATAAATATTTAAGTAAAAGTCAGCATGACCACAAGATTTTGACCTTTGATCAAACGAAAATAACTATAATAAATCCCTACTGCTAAAGTACTGATTCTTTATTGGTACAAGAGGACCCCCTGGCAAACTTGAATTAATGTCCTGAGGTAGACTGCTATTTCTCAAATAGAGAAATGTGGGATATCGCAAAATAGACATTATCTGACCACAGTTTGCATGGTAAACATGTTTCATGGGAATTGTATGTTACAAAATGTTACCAGATGAAGCATAATCAGGCAAAAAAAAAAATTAAGTAGTTTGTGCAAAAAGTAAAGCATACAAATCATTTTGTTCTTTTTAAATTTGCAGAAAGTCATGTTTCTACTGAATAGACCTAATCCAACCTGTTTCTATTTTTTTTTTTTATTTTGATGTCAAACAATGATAATGCATGAAGTATGCATCATCAAAACATTGCAACAGATTTTAAAAAGTGGAGTTTCCAGGAATGTCTATTAAAACTTTTAAGGTTTAAGCTAAAATAGCAAAAATCTTGCATCTCAGTAGTAAACACAATCTTTGCTCTCTCAAATTTACTTGAAAGGTTATTCAGAGATTGAACTCCTTCAGGTAAAGCACTGTGTGCATTTATGTTCTTTATAGAACCAGCTTCTGATGTATCACTTTAAAACTGGGATACGTCACTGGTGCTGGTTTCAATCAAAGCCCAAAGTTATCAATAGAGTCTCAAATGTTTTTAAACCTGAAAAAAATATCTTTTTAACCTATCCACTGCACCATTTTTATGTCACATTGTTTTTTAGAATGGAAACAACCCACCTAAATAGTTAATTTCCCTGCAAGATACTGTGATTGTTTTAGTCTGTCCATGCTATAAATGGTTAAGTCTTTTACTTTAATTTAAGGGTCCCAAATTTGATTCCAAGTTATTTCTAGAAGGAAAGCTGGTATAAAAACTCAGTTGCAAGTTGTAATGATGTTGTGTATTGATCATTGAATAAGGGGGCTAAGGACTGTCTCCATCTCTTTATGTCCTTAAGAGACAGATCAATGGCTGACAATCAACTGTTAAAGATATTCTATTTCTAACATCAAAATTGTAGCCTGTTGTCCACAATCTGAGCCACTTTAAGTTTTATCTCAGTTAAAGTCAAAACAAATTAATGCTTCAGAATATAGCTAAGTGGTATTGATAAAAATGTGACATTGTTATATAAAACAGACAAAACCAAAAAGGCCCCGTCAGGTGTGGCTATCTACTTTAATAATATTTCAATCAGCTGGTTTAATATTTTATTGGCAAAAAAGTAGCTTCATGACAGCTGGTGGGAAAAAAACACCAAACAAATAATTAATTCCAAACAACTGTTTGGATTAGTAATGCACAAACTAAAATTAGGATTATGACATGTTGAGTATAGCCCCCACTTGCAGTCTGTCCATTGTTAAAACTCAGCCTTTTGTGTAATCTTTCTTTTTTTAAATATAATTAGTACACACACACAAGAAGAGAATGCCTACCTCAAAATAAAAGCAGCAGCATTTTATTGGGTTAGGAATTGGGTTAAGAATGAACGTTTAATGCAAGTTTCTGATGCATCTAGAAGACCAGGAGATTTTATTTTTTACCCCACGCTTCTAATGTTGGGTGTAAGTTACTATCTGGTTAAATCATTCTGTAAGAAGTTAGGCCAATCTAACCATAAACATTTTCCCAAATCCTCTGTATGATTTTATAAAGCTAGAAGATGTAGAAGGACTTTTGGGGAGGGGGAAAGTAAGAATGTTTATATCTTTGTTTAAAAGTTCACACTTACCAGTCCATCACAGTTGCTGATAGCCACAGAGGCCTCTGGCATGTCAGTCACATCACCAGTGAAGACACAGTCCCCATGGATGTGTTCCTTTGTCTTTTCCTCAAAATCCTCCTGCCATTCCACGAAAGCCCCAGGGGCCACCAACCTCTTGTTGGCCCTGAGGCGAAGGTGAAGCTCTTTCCCAAACAAGGTGACATTGAAAAAAAGGTGGTGACCTGAGCTAGAGGTGACTGATGGTATTGGGGGGACACTGCGGGCCACCCTTCTTCCACTGCCAGAGGCTGAAAGATTTTCAGCAGCAGCCTCACTTTTACTTCCACCAGAAACCACGTGAGAAATGTATCTGCCATGGGAGTCTGTGCTGATTGGCACCATAAGACCATATTCACTTAACTTTCCAGAGAGTTTTTCTGATGGGACAAATAATGTCAAATGAGATTCACTAAGGAAATACCTTTGACAATGAAAAAGAAGGAATGGAGGGGTGCAATAAAAATAAATAAGGAAAATAATTTGCTTATTTAGGGAGAAAGTAACTGATGGACATTCAGAAATATTCAGCAATTCTTTTATCTTTTTTTCTGCATAATATCTGTACATTGACTTTTATTTATAAAAACTGCAATAGAAAAGTGAAAATGAAACAGCAGGAGAACTCACCATCTGATTCTGCAGCCAAAATAGTTTCTAAATATACTTGACAAAATGAAAACCACATCAATAAATATATACAATCCATAGCTCGAGTTAAAATGTGAGGGGATGCAACTTTTCTAACTTTCCCCTTCAGTTGTTAACTCTGAAAAGCCCCAAAAAATGCAGAGGAAAAGTGCTCAGAGCTGAGCTCCAGCGAGGCGGCCGGGCATTTCTCAGCGTCGTCCTCTCTACACGCCAAACTGAAGCTGCTTCCAGTGTGTTGGCCCGCGCTGAACTGCACACACCGAGACTGTGGCGTGCACTTAGGGAACCGAGCAGAGGGGGGGGGATCTAGTGGTGGTGATGACGACAAACTCCCCGGTATAAGAGCCGGAACGATTGGAAGTTGTTGCCCACTTTTTCTTCCTCTTTTCCTCCTCAAAACTTTTTTTTTTTTTTTTTATGCAGAACAAGACCAAGTTAATACACGCCTACACACAGAGAGAAAGAGGGGAGAAAAAAAACCCTAGGTAGAGTTAAGATGCAGAGACATAGTGTCCCAGTGGTGGAACATCTGCCGTCCAGTCGTGCACAATTACGCACCGATGGTGCGCCGAACGCGCCACCCCTAACCAGCGGGAGCGCGTTCTCTCTGAGAGACAGCCACATATTGAAACAAGCGGTCTTTTCCTTACCTCATAAAGGCTACCACTACGTTATATAATCATATTAAGTTAGGGAAGGAAAAAAAAAAAAGCCTGCCACAGCTGACGTTCAGTCATGGAATCTGGGCTATTTTTCTTTAACATGCCGAAGAAAACCCCGTCCAGACGCCAGATGCAAGGTAATAACTCATAGAGAGGGTGTTTACATTAGTCCACAAACATATGTTAGTGATCACATGGCAATAAATCTGGGAACAGCATTCCTGCACATGAGGCACTGGTGACGATAGCACTACAAAGCCTTGGTCCAGAACTTAGGAATAAACATAAAAGGTGAAAACTTAAGATTTGCTCCAAAAAAACTCATTGGAAGAAAATAATAATTCAGGTTTAGAAACGTTTTAGCCTTTCATTGATCAATAAAGCAATTAAAAAAAGAAACACTTTATTAGCAGAATGGTAAACTTAATTGATAAACACAGACTACTTTCTGACAATCATTATGGATTGATAAAAGGAAGTTTACAATTGGTCTGTTTATTAATCTTAAAGAGAATAAACATTTTACACATTTGATCACAAGAAATTAATCCGGATGTGATGGAAGGGATGCAGACCAAGCTATTTAGCTACCAGGCAACAGAATGTGAAAATGGGTAATTATCCTTATTCATGTTTGGACATTGGGCACCGATATTGTTTATTATCTGAATAAATTAAATGGCTTCAAGCAGCAATCCAGTTTGATTTATTTGATACAAATATAAACATTTTCTCTGAACGGGTGAGAGCTTTCAGCAGCTCTTGGATGATACCACACCAGAAAAAACAATCTTAAAAGTAGTTGGACAAAAATAAACTGTCTTTGAATTTGGAGAAAATTAATTTATTTTTATTTGGAAATGATAAGGGAAATATAGATTTGAATGTTATAATAGATTAGATTGAAGGGGAATTATTAAATGAAATAAAAGTCTTTGGTGTGAGCATTGACTGCAAGAGCTGCTGGAAGCCCCAACCCAAACATTTGTAGACTAAAAGATCAAGAAGAGGCCTTGCGCTGGTGAAGATTCTCAGTCATCCAGGTCCACTCAGACCCATTGTTAGCAGCATTAAATCAGTAACATACAGCGTTGCTAAACAGCTTTCTAATATTTTAGCCCCTTTGGTGGGAAGCACAGCAAATCACATAGAAAACGCCAAACAGAGGATGATGACTTCGATGGGTTTGATTAATACTTTGTAATAAATACATGAATAAAGCACAATCATACTCAGTTTTGCTCCCGCTCTATTTTTGAATACGCAGTAGAGGTATTTAAATGTAGTAGAGGACATGTACCTGTATATGAAACCTGCGACCTATAGTGCGGTGCGCCTTATGTGTGTGTTAAATACAGTAATGGCACACATAACTGAGACTGCGCCTTTTAGTACGGTGCGCCTTATGGTCGTGAAAATACGGTATGTTAGAAAACCGGACTCTTAAGTCCAGGAAATGTTTTTTCAACCGTCTGTTGTTCAATTTTGTGAGCCTGTTAAAATTGTAGCTTCAGTTTCCTGTTCTTGGCTGACAGGTGTGGTCTTCTACTGCCGTTGCCCATCCACTTCAGAGATGCTCTTCTCAAAAGAATGGTATATGAGTTACTGTTGCCTTTATATCAGCTTGAAACAGTCTGGCCATTGTCCTCTCACCTCCTGTATCAACAATGCCTTTGCTCCCACAGAACTGCTCCACTGGATATTTCTCTCTTTTCCATTCTCTGCAAACCCTAGATATGTTTGTGCACAAAAATCCCAGTAGATCAGCAGTTTCCTTAATACTCAGACACAGCCCATCTGGCACCAGCAAGTACAGTGATTGTACATCAAACATATAAGCCAATTATATATATCAACCATTGTATACACTGTTTGCATGTTTTAGATTTAAAATGTACTAGATTGTCTGAAATAAGGTTATTAATTCATGAATTATGAATTTCATTCATGAATTTAACATCCAAGTTAAATAGGAAAGTATATATGTGGATGTTAAGATATCACCTGAAACAAATTGCAATATTGTTTGACATCAATGAAAAGCTGAACAAAATCGCCCAAAATAACAAAAACAGAATTGTAGACCTTTAAGGGATTTCTTGGGTAAAATGCCTGAAGCTGCCATGTTCACAGATAAACCTGTTTTTGGTGTGAAATGAAAATTTTATTCACAGAACAAAACCACAACACCTTGTGAAGATGCTCTCTATAGCCGGTAGGAGAATGTGATTATCCACAATGAACCATATTGGATCAAAGGCTGCTTACCAAGTAAAAAACCCATTACTCCAAAAGCAACAGCATCTGCGTGGGTGCACATTTTAAATACATGTAGGGCACTTTTACATTTAGAGACATGTCCTGTAGTTAGATCAAACTCTGTGGTCATCACAAAGCCCAATCTCGCTTTAATTAGAAATATATTAAATAACAGCAACTTGCAGAAAGCTTGAGAGAAGACATCACTGTGCAATTAAAGTGATTCACTGATTAATTTAAAATACCTGTATGTCTATCGATTACATTCCTAGCTTCAATAAGAGTAACAGACCCATACTTGTTTCATGATCTGAACTAATCCTGTTGATGTCATTACAAGTTTATAGTCAAGATAGTTCGATCAGAGATATAAAATTTGAAAAGAACCAGGAAAATGTTTCAACTACACTCTGCTGGAGTCTAGACGGATTCAGACATGAATGCCCTGAGACTGAACCAACAACTCTGGAATCTTTCTTAAAGGAAGGAAGACACAGGGGATTCTTTGGGCTGCAGTGAACCTTAACTTTTAGGAGCATATTGAAAAATTAGGGTATCTGGACTGGACACCCTCTCCAGATTTGCCTTCTTTCTGTTCCTTGAATGTGTCACGGCACCAGATAAGAGCATGTTGCCTGAAAATGCTCTACATGTGTAGCTAAATAGCTGAGAGCTTCCAGGATGGTCAACATGGTGCAGGTGTTGGGCAGGGGGATATTGCTCAGTCAGTCCCTCAGGGCGGCTGAGAAAGGACTGGATGGTAAATCCAAAGCTGTGCATTAATAAGCAGTGGAAACTAACCACAGTATTAAGAGATGGAAACCATTAACTGCCTTGTGAGATGCTTTATGCTGTTTTTCCATCCATAATGTTTAGAAGTTTTTTTTTTTATGTGTGTCTAAAAGCCAGGAAGACATTCCACAATATAGCATAGTATTCAGTTTGAAGCCCTTTTTTTTCCCCTTCAGAAATGAATAGCTCCTCTCACAGGCTGTGGTTACTTCCACACACAAGAACAATTTTCTGCAACAGAACACTCTGTCCTTTATAACATAGGAGTGGAACATTTGTGCACTTTTGTTTTGAACTGAATGCAGATTGTAACTGTGATTTAGAAACAAATCTACTATTTTTTGTTTTGTTAAGCCCCTTTTCAAGAGGGGTTTGAGCTATGGGAAGAAGTTGCAGTACAGAGAGAATCTCTGCAAGCTCTGGATGCCGTACAGTGTGCTGTAATGCTGTCAAGCCATGCCAACGTGCTGAGAAAATATGTTTTTTTTTTTTTCAAGATGCAAAAGATGTAAAGCAGCTGCTGCTCGACCCAGCCGTCTGAGAGGACCTTCTGCAGAGTGGCTGGAGGGTTCTGAATCAAATAGTTGTTCTACTGAATAAGGAATGATTCGGCTTGCAGTGTTGTGTGCACCTGCAGCTCCAGAAGAGTTGCAGTGTGCATCTCTACAAATAGAGATTCATAGTTCTCTTTTTCACTGTGGGAAAATCGGCATTAGTGCCACAAAGAAAACATTGCAAAACTCAGTGATGCAGAGTCGTTTTTCCAGCACGTTGCATTTATTTATTCCTCAAAATTGTCAAGCTCCAAATCTGTACAGAGTTGCTCCCTCGCAGCCACTTTTCATAACAAGGTGAAAAGTGGTGTACACCTTGGACAGGTAGTCATTGGGGAATAAACCATTAATGTACATAATCACACCTAATGTTGATCTGAATGAATAATCTCTCTATATATCCAATCCAATCCACTTAAATAACACAGAAAAAAAAAAAACAATTCCAATCCACAATACACACAAAAAAAAAAAAAAAAAACACAACACAAACAAAAAAGCAGTTAGAGTTTAAAATGAATAAGTAAATAAAACAGACACAGTTGACCACAAAATTATGCGCCGTTAAAAGCCAAATAGTAAAAGTGTGTCTTAAGAAAAGACTTAAAACACTCCACTGTGGAGGCTGTTCATAAATGGAGGGGCAAACTATTCCAAATTCTAGGGCCAACTACAGAAAAGGTTCTGCCCCCTGTGGTTTTAAGCCTCATCTTAGGCACTATTAGCTAAAGATGGCCCCCAGACCTCCGAGCACGTGCAGGAGAGTAAATCTGGAGGAGGTTGGTAAAGTTTTAAGGAGTGATCCCATTCATAGCTTTAAAAAAACAATACATTTTAAAATGTATTGTAAAACTAACAGGGAGCCAGTGTAGAGATGTAAGAATTTATGTAATGTGTTGATGTTTTTTTACCTCTTTAAATGCGTTTTGGACTAACAGCAAACAGGAGAGAGCTTGTTGGCTAATGCCTGAATAAAGCGCATTGTTGTAGTCTAGATGACTAGAAATAAAAGAGTGTAAAACCTGTTGAAAGAGGTTATTAGATAAAACCAGTTTTAACTTAAAGGATGGAAATGACAAGAACA